CCCAACCAACGGAGGGCTGGGACAAAAATACCCTGCGGCGTACCCAAGCCATCGGCACCAAGGGATGAGATAATGTGTGTCGACACTCGAGCGACAGCAACATTGCAAGAGACGGCGCACGACATCAGAGTGAGGGGGCCCGAACGGTCATTCTTTGTCCCTGCGCGCGCGTAGCCGGATGGAGGGCACGGCCTCTGGGGGCTACACTTGGGGGCTACACTTGGGGGCTACACTTGGGGGCTACACATGGGGGCTACACATGGGGGCTACACTTGGGGGCTACACTTGGGGGCTGCACTTGGGGGCTGCACTTGGGGGCTACACTTGGGGGCTACACATGGGGGCTACACTTGGGGGCTACACATGGGGGTTCTAGTGGGACGGGGACAGGGACCGCCGCCTCCGCCGCTCTCTCACTCTTATCCGCGACTGCGGGGTGCTACGTACATCTATATCGTGCGAAGTGTGCGTGGCCGACTCGCAGGACAAAAGGTACAACAAAAAGCCATGAGGCATTGCATTGGGAAGGAAAAACACAAGGAACACATCGGCGCGGAAGAACAATCACCTCGGCAGAAGCAGCGAGATGATGGAGCATGGGCAAGATAAAGGTTACACAGGCGGAGACGCAACCAGATGCTCAACACCTGTGCGGCCAGCGCTCCGCGTTGCTGCAACGCCTCGGGAATTGCAGAGCTCCCGTTGCTAGTGTCACAAGCCGTCAAGACCTAGTTCGCCAGCCAGGCTCGCCGCTTGTTCCCTGCACTTCTTAGTGCGAGCACCCAGCGCGCGCAGACGCGCCGCCAACCCTCAAAACCGGCGACAGTCTCACACTCCGCAGCCCCCCCCCCAAGGACGGCGAGGTCCCGTTTGGATCTGCGTGGGGCCCCATTGTGCTGGCTCCCTTTGCGGCCCCCCGGAAGGGGTGTCACACGCCGCGGCCACCACCCCCAGGGATGGCGAGGTCCCGTTGGGAGCTGCGTGGGGCCTCGCCGTGCTGGCTCCCCCGGCAGCCCTCGAGCGTGGCGACCGTCTCTCACACTTCGCGCCCCCCCCCCCCTGGGGATGGCGAGCGCTCCCGTTGGGAGCTCTGCGCGGGGGGCCCCGCCGTGCCGGGGCTCCCCCCCGGCGGCAGCCCTCGAGAGGGGGGCGGCCGTGCCGCACCCCGCAGCGGCCCCAGGGATGGATGGCTGCGAGGGGAGAGGGCGCCGCGAGGAGAGCAAGTAGGGGAGCAAAAAGTGGCCATAAGTCGGAGGGGGGGGGAAGGAGGGCGAGGAGGACGAGGAGGAGGAGGAGGAGGAGGAGGAGGAGGAGGAGGAGGAGGCGGAGGAGGAGGAGGAGGAGGAGGAGGAGGAGGAGGAGGAGGAGGACGAGGAGGAGGAGGAGGAGGAGGAGGAGGAGGAGAGGAGGAGAGGAGGAGGAGGAGGAGGAGGAGGAGGGAGGAGGACGACGCCCTCCCCTCCACTCTGATGGTGGTGGTGGTGGCACACACGCCACCCGAACGTTGGCGCCTTTAGGGGAACAGAAAGTGACATAAACATAAAAACTCGGAGGTCCGCGGGATTTCTCGGATCGGCGCTGGACCCCCCTCCCTGGCGCGCGGAGCGTGCCAGGGGCGGCGCCAGAGGCGCCGCCGGGGGGCCCCAGCGCGGATCCGAGAAATCCGCGCGGACCTCGGAGTTTTTGTGTTTATGCCACTTTCTGTTCCCCTAGCAAGGGGGGGAGGAGGGCAGTTGCTGTCACGCACCTTGCATTGAGCGCCTTGGTCGCATCTGCCCGATCGTCGTGCAGAGCAATGCATCAGTCGGTCGAGTGGCGTCCGGAGCCGTGCCCCTCCAGGGGGTCATCACAGCAGCGGAACAGAGCAGAACAGCACAGGGCGGGCGCGGGCCGCCGAGAGAGGGGGGACGGAGGGCGGGAGGAGAAGAAAGAGAACGGAGTCGGCACTCCGCTGCTCTGCAGTTTTGTCGGGCCTGTCCCCCTACTGGGTGTTTTTCGACGAAAAATCAAAGATACCCCCAAAAGAGTAGAAAAATAATCCAAAAATAGTCTGGGGAGCATTTTTCGAGTATTTTTTGATCTGTTTGGGGTATTCTTGGGGTATTTTCAATTTGTCGTCCAAAATCCCCCTGTAGGGGGACAGGCCCGACTTAACTCTACAATCGGGGCCCTGAAGAAGGAACCTTTGTCGTCGTGGAGGGGCTCGGTGTTCCTCGATTGTTCTGCAGTTTTTGCCTTAGGCGTTCCCGAGGCTCTCCATGGGAAGCCGGAGTGAAACTTGTGGGAGAAAGGGGCCTCGTTCCTTACTCAGAGTCCCTTAGGTCAACGCCCTGACGGTATTCGAAACGAGAACCCAACCAAGGGAGGGTTGGGAAAAGCAGGTCGAGGTCTCCCAGGTGGGTTCGGAGCAGACGGATCGGGGGATCCGCATCGCCGATGCATCTGCGATGCGGCTCGATGTGGAGCCCGATGTTCTCCTCGTCGACGTCGCCGATGCATCGCCGACGTCGCCGATGCATCGGCGATGCATCGGCGATGCGGTGCGATCCTCCGACCCCATCTACTCCGACCCCCCCGTCAGGGAGGACGTGACGCCGTCATCATCCACGGGGAAGGGGAGGAGGAGGAGGAGGAGGAGGAGGAGGAGGAGGAGGAGGAGGAGGAGGAGGAGGAGGAGGAGGAGGAGGGAAGGAGGAGCGGGGAGGGAGGAGGGGGAAGGAGGAGCGAGGAGGAAAAGGAGGAGGAGGAGGGGGAGGAGGAGGAGGAGGAGGAGGAGGAGGAGGAGGAGGAGGAGGTAGAGGAGAGGAGGAGGAGGAGGAGGAGGATCAGAGACGAAGGGTCAGGATCGTGAGGCGGTCGGGAGCCTCGGCTCCGCGTGGCGCTCCGCCGGCCTGGCCCACACACGGCGGCGCGGCACGCTCTCTCTCCTCTCTCCTCCTCCTCTCCGCCCTCCTCCTCTTCCTCCGCCTCCTCCTCCTCCTCCTACTCCTCCTCCTCCCCTCCTCCTCCTCCTCCCCTCCGCCCCCGGTGGGGGCGACCTGCCGGCTTCGCGCTCGAGGTCCTGCTTCGGTATCGGCACCCGCACGACCGTCGTCCTCGCCCCGGGCCTTTTGTTCCCAGCGCCTCGCCCCGCGGAGCGGAGCGACGCGCTGCTCGCACGGCGGCATGGCGTGTCGTCGGGGCCGCCGCCGCGACACGGTGATAGGGCAACGAAGAATGACAGAAACACAGTAACTCAGAGGTCCGCGCGGAGTTCTCGGATCGG